ACACACATCCCCAGGATGCAGGCCGTAGCAGGTGTCTAATGGCAGGGCTGGTGCAGCATACACTGTAATTAGCAGTAATATGTTCCAGAACCCAAGTGACGGAAAAGCCAGTATAGAGAACTATGCCTCTTCAACACAAGCGGAGTTAACTGCCATTGTTATGGCGTTAAGGTTCCTCGAAGGAAACACTAACTGTGCAGTGATCTGCTCTGACTCTACACAAGCAGCACTACAAAGCCTTAGTAAATCATATCCCAACCACTTCTCTAGTAGCAGTAAATAGGTACCTGGGAGTTAGACAGCTGCTACGGGCTGCTTCCTGTGTGTGTGTGTGTGTGTGTGTGCGTGTGTGTGTGTGTGTGTGTGTGTGTGTGTGTGTGTGTGTGTGTGTGTCACGGAGGCATATTGCGTCATTCATCCGTGAAACAGGCTAGCGTAAGTGCTTGCGTAAGGGCTAGCGTAAGGGCCAGCGTAAGGGCCAGCGTAAGGGCCAGCGTAAGGGCCAGCGTAAGGGCCAGCGTAAGGGCCAGCGTAAGGGCCAGCATAAGGGCCAGCGTAAGGGCCAGCGTAAGGGCCAGCGTAAGGGCCAGCATAAGGGCCAGCGTAAGGGCCAGCGTAAGGGCCAGCGTAAGGGCCAGCGTAAGGGCCAGCGTAAGGGCCAGCGTAAGGGCCAGCATAAGGGCTAGCGTAAGGGCTAGCGTAAGGGCCAGCGTAAGGGCTAGCGTAAGGGCCAGCGTTAGGGCCAGCGTAAGGGCTAGCGTAAGGGCTAGCGTTAGGGCCAGCGTAAGTGCTAGCGTAAGGGCTAGCGTAAGGGCTAGTAACGCCGCTCCGGGTGACCTCACATAGACTTGTACATATATTAGAATGGTGATGGGAAATAATTATGGGTTATTTTAAGTGTTATTCTTTTCATTTTAGCTTTAAACATTACACTGTATTCTCACCAAGATTAGGGGTCTCTGAACGTGATGTAACAAACTAGGCTGGTTGTGAGAATTATTCCAGAAGGTTCCAGAAGTTTCGTGTAGGGACCTGACCTCTACAACACACATTCCCTTGGGGATTAGCAGGTCTGAGTCACAAATGGTGGGCGTCTCTGTTCATATTCATTTTGTATTACAATTGTATTGTATAATATTACTGGGTACAATATCAAGAGGATTCTAATTATTGAGTTAAGTCACCATCAGTGACGTCACGAATCAGATCTAAGTTGTAAGGCGGAGTGACCGGCGGTCATAGGTCATCAGGGTTGACAGGTCTACTATTTCTCAAAGTTTTAATAACCATTTTTGTGATCGGGAACAGCTCTGCCGTTAGATGCTTGTGTAATTTAACTTCAGTAAAATAATTCAACCAGTCTGGATCAATTAAGTATAACAGAGGTTAATTGTTATAACTTAAACCTTGCTAGTAACTTGGTAAAACTTAGACTATGCGGAAGGATACAATGCTCTAGTCTCGGGTAGACCAGACGAGGAGAGATCAGTGTGGAGTCCAGATCAACTGGGGGAGGTCAACCCATCTCACCTCTCCCCCAAGGCCAGCCCAACATCTTCAGCTGGTCAAAATAGAGGTATAGTTGCTATTGTTATTTATAGGGATAGTCAACTCATTGCCGTTGAGGTCAAGTAGGGAGTGTTAAAGTGACAGGGAGTGAACATATTTAGATTTTGTTTTAGTTTTCTTTTAATAAATTAATTAGTTAATAATTTGCATTTTTATTATTTCCATGTGGTTATGTGAACTTGTCCTGGTCACGTGGTCCACACGAGGCAGAGTTGGATTGGGCGCCGACTCTAACATCGAGTCGGAATTCATCATTACCGTGTAATTTATTCCACACTCAAGGTCATCGGTTATAGTGGGGATCAAGCCCCAAGGTTGGTTAATTAGCATGATCGATCCAGACCTCGATCATTGCTCTGTGTTACTGGTCTGGTGGTGGCGGCGGAGGCGACTCTAGGGTTTGGCTCAAAGCCTAGGTCACGTCATACGGTTTGTAGAATCCTAAGTCGGTCAATCGTCTTAGGACCACGTGGCGTGGAGTCGGCTTTAGTAAAAGTTTTGGAGTCCCTTGTAGAGAATAAAAAGTAAGAATACGGGTAGAGGGGGAAAAGAAGGAAAGATAAGTCGAGAACCCTCCCCGTGTTACAGTGAGTCGGATCATACAGTTTAAAAAGAACCCGGTTACGAGAGGTTCATAACAATGTGTGTGTGTGTAAGAATACAAAATATATATATAAATAAGATTAGTAATAGTTGATTGACAGTTGAGAGGCGGGCCGAAAGAGCAGAGCTCAACCCCCGCAAGCACAACTAGGTGAATACAGCTAGGTAAACACACACACACACTCACACGGAAATAGTATCAGGTGATAGGAGACCAAAGGGACAGTACACAATGAAGGGGAACAGCCTACCCGTGACGACGCGAGAAAGAGACCTGGGAGTGGACGTAACAGCCAATCTAACTCCTGAGGCACATATAAATAGGATAACGACAGCAGCGTACTCTACACTGGCAAAAGTTAGAACATCATTCAGAAACCTAAGTAAGGAGGCATTTAGGGCGGTTTACACTCACTGCTTACGTGAGACTAGTCTTAGAGTATGCAGCACCATCATGGAGACCCCACCTGAAGAAACACATAAGGAAACTGGAAAAGGTTCAGAAGTTTGCGACGAGGCTCGTCCCAGAGTTACGATGGATGGGATATGAAGAACGTCTGAAGGAACTGAACCTTACGACACTAGAAAAAAGAAGGGAGAGAGGGGATATGATTGGAACTTATGAAATACTCAGGGGAATTGACAAAGTGGAAATAGACGAAATGTTCACACGTAATAATAACAGAACGAGGGGACATGGATGGAAGCTGGAATCTCAGATGAGTCACAGAGATGTTAGGAAGTTTTCTTTTAGCGTGAGAGTAGTGGAAAATGGAATGCACTTAAGGAGCAGGTTGTGGAAGCAAATACTATTCATAATTATAAAATTTGATATGATAGGGAAATGGGACAGGAGTCATTGCTGTAAACAACCGATGGCTAGAAAGGCGGGATCCAAGAGTCAATGCTCGATCCTGCAAGCACAAATAGGTGAGTACACACACACCCAGGAAGCAGCCCGTAGCAGCTGTCTAACTCCCAGGTACCTATTTACTACTAGGTAACAGGTGCATCTCTGCCTTTTTTTTTTTTGTTTCCGCCGGCGCTGGGAATCGAACCCGGGACCACAGGACTACGTATCCAGCGTGCTGTCCACTGAGCCACCTGCAGCGCCCCACGTGTGTGTGTGTGAGCGAGAGAGCAAGACTGAGCAATACTGTCCTCCTCTACTACACTACACTTGTGAAATGTGGTATAACCCGGGCCACAGAATTACGAGTTGTGCGCGCTCTCCGCTCAGCTACCAGTACCCATATTCACGAAGTAGTTACGCAAGTACTTACGAACGTGTACATCTTTCCTCAATCTTTGACGGCTTTGGTTACATTTATTACGACACAACATTAGGACAATATGGCAGGATGAGCATCCATGCTGTCAGCATCTTGATCCCCAGATGTCATCTCGTGTGCTCTAAGCCTCCTGGGGCCAGATTCACGAAGCAGTTACGCAAGCACTTACGAACCTATGCAACTTTTCTCAATATTTGGCGGCTTTGTTTACAATTACTAAACAGTTAATGAGCTCCGAAGCACCAGGAGGCTGTTTATAACAATAACAACAGTTGATTGGCAAGTTTTCATGCTTGTAAACTGTTTAATAAATGTAGCCAAAGCCGTCAAAGATTGAGGAAAGATGTACAGATTCGTAAGTAACTGCTTCGTGAATCTGGCCGCAGGGCATCCTTCCGGCCCATCAGCTGACGCCTCCAGTCACCTCCATTCACAAACTCTGTCACTCCTGTACGAACACTGCCAAACACCTACTACGCCCTTGACATTATTCCACTCACCTTCACAATCATCAAGTTCCTTGTAATGAACGGTGATGAATATCATTTTGTATAGGCGTTGTTTTGTATATGATGAACGATATAACGTATAACAGCTGAGATATAAGCAAGTCTTAACTCATTTTTTTCCATGTTTCGTACGACGCCGAAAGGAAACGAGGGAGATCCCGATGATGCGACCACGCGATTGGTTGGTAGTTTGTGACGTCATCGACTTTGTGACTCGCCATTGGATAGCCATATAGTGTGACGTCATATATGACGTATATATAACGACACATTGCCGCCTATATGGTGTCTCACTATATTTCCATCTGCATCGTTTTATTTCATAATTCTTCAACAGGGCCGCAGCTAATGACTTGAACAATATATCTTAGAGTCTCGTGGTTGATATCTCGTGATATCACTGGTTTTATAGGACTTAATATAGGAGTATAACATTATACCTTACCTTTAAACCTTCATCTTGAGGTTATCTTGAGATGATTTCGGGGCTTTAGTGTCCCCGCGGCCCGGTCCTCGACCAGGCCTCCACCCCCAGGAAGCAGCCCGTGACAGCTGACTAACACCCAGGTACCTATTTTACTGCTAGGTAACAGGGGCATAGGGTGAAAGAAACTCTGCCCATTGTTTCTCGCCGGCGCCCGGGATCGAACCCGGGACCACAGGATCACAAGTCCAGCGTGCTGTCCGCTCGGCCGACCGGCTCCCTTAACTATAAAACCTATATATACTACTTTGTCTAGTTCTAGAACCAATTATGTTATACATGACTGTTAAGAATTACTATTAACTATGTGTTTACTAGTTGTGTTTTTTGCGGGGGTTGAGCTTTGCTCTTTCGGCCCGCCTCTCAACTGTCAATCAACTGTTTACTAACTACTTTTTTTTTTCCCCACACCACACACACACACCCCAGGAAGCAGCCCGTGACAGCTGACTAACTCCCAGGTACCTATTTACTGCTAGGTAACAGGGGCACTTAGGGTGAAAGAAACTTTGCCCATTTGTTTCTGCCTCGTGCGGGAATCGAACCCGCGCCACAGAATTACGAGTCCTGCGCGCTATCCACCAGGCTACGAGGCCCCTTGGATGTAACTACCTTATCCAGACAGCAATTGGCCTTGTTAAACGACGTTTGGGTGACTGATTCACCCAAATTTGATTCCTTCCCGAGTTTCGGACAAGTAACTCGGCAGTCATACTATAGAATTGATCTATAACAACAGTCACAGGTAATGAGTCAGGTGCTGGTGCAACTGTGCACAATAAACAAACCAATTATATAGTGAGCACAAACGTTCAAGAAGACAGCAGGAGGTGAGCACTGAGCACCATCATGGTAGTGTTGTCACTCGAGCAAGAACAGTCACTGGAGCAACAACAGTCACTGGAGCAAGAACAGTCACTGGAGCAAGAACAGTCACTGGAGCAAGAACAGTCACTGGAGCAAGAACAGTCACTGGAGCAAGAACAGTCACTGGAGCAAGAACAGTCACTGGAGCAAGAACAGTCACTGGAGCAACAACAGTCACTGGAGCAAGAACAGTCACTGGAGCAAGAACAGTCACTGGAGCAACAACAGTCACTGGAGCAAGAACAGTCACTGGAGCAAGAACAGTCACTGGAGCAAGAACAGTCACTGGAGCAACAACAGTCACTGGAGCAAGAACAGTCACTGGAGCAAGAACAGTCACTGGAGCAAGAACAGTCACTGGAGCAACAACAGTCACTGGAGCAAGAACAGTCACTGGAGCAAGAACAGTCACTGGAGCAACAACAGTCACTGGAGCATCAACAGTCACTGGAGCAACAACAGTCACTGGAGCAACAACAGTCACTGGAGCAACAACAGTCACTGGAGCAAGAACAGTCACTGGAGCAAGAACAGTCACTGGAGCAAGAACAGTCACTGGAGCAAGAACAGTCACTGGAGCAAGAACAGTCACTGGAGCAACAACAGTCACTGGAGCATCAACAGTCACTGGAGCAAGAACAGTCACTGGAGCAAGAACAGTCACTGGAGCAAGAACAGTCACTGGAGCATCAACAGTCACTGGAGCAACAACAGTCACTGGAGCAACAACAGTCACTGGAGCAACAACAGTCACTGGAGCAACAACAGTCACTGGAGCAACAACAGTCACTGGAGCAACAACAGTCACTGGAGCATCAACAGTCACTGGAGCAACAACAGTCACTGGAGCATCAACAGTCACTGGAGCAACAACAGTCACTGGAGCATCAACAGTCACTGGAGCAAGAACAGTCACTGGAGCAAGAACAGTCACTGGAGCAACAACAGTCACTGGAGCAACAACAGTCACTGGAGCAACAACAGTCACTGGAGCAACAACAGTCACTGGAGCAACAACAGTCACTGGAGCAACAACAGTCACTGGAGCAACAACAGTCACTGGAGCATCAACAGTCACTGGAGCAACAACAGTCACTGGAGCATCAACAGTCACTGGAGCAACAACAGTCACTGGAGCATCAACAGTCACTGGAGCATCAACAGTCACTGGAGCAAGAACAGTCACTGGAGCATCAACAGTCACTGGAGCAACAACAGTCACTGGAGCAAGAACAGTCACTGGAGCATCAACAGTCACTGGAGCAACAACAGTCACTGGAGCATCAACAGTCACTGGAGCAAGAACAGTCACTGGAGCATCAACAGTCACTGGAGCAACAACAGTCACTGGAGCATCAACAGTCACTGGAGCATCAACAGTCACTGGAGCAAGAACAGTCACTGGAGCATCAACAGTCACTGGAGCAACAACAGTCACTGGAGCAACAACAGTCACTGGAGCAAGAACAGTCACTGGAGCAACAACAGTCACTGGAGCAAGAACAGTCACTGGAGCATCAACAGTCACTGGAGCAACAACAGTCACTGGAGCAAGAACAGTCACTGGAGCAAGAACAGTCACTGGAGCAAGAACAGTCACTGGAGCAACAACAGTCACTGGAGCAAGAACAGTCACTGGAGCAAGAACAGTCACTGGAGCAAGAACAGTCACTGGAGCAAGAACAGTCACTGGAGCAACAACAGTCACTGGAGCAAGAACAGTCACTGGAGCAACAACAGTCACTGGAGCAACAACAGTCACTGGAGCAAGAACAGTCACTGGAGCAACAACAGTCACTGGAGCAAGAACAGTCACTGGAGCATCAACAGTCACTGGAGCAACAACAGTCACTGGAGCAAGAACAGTCACTGGAGCAACAACAGTCACTGGAGCAAGAACAGTCACTGGAGCAACAACAGTCACTGGAGCAAGAACAGTCACTGGAGCAACAACAGTCACTGGAGCAACAACAGTCACTGGAGCAAGAACAGTCACTGGAGCAAGAACAGTCACTGGAGCAAGAACAGTCACTGGAGCAACAACAGTCACTCAAGACGCCAGTAATACCCATCCCAACACGGTAAGTTGCTGTGAACTGGACCTCACAGATGGGACGGGGGAGGAAGAGGGGGGTGTGTGTGGGAAAAGAGGGAGGGGGGGGGTAGAGGAAGTGGGGGGGGATAAAGAGGGAAGGGGGGGTGAGGGGGTGACGGTATATATATAAGCTGGAGGAAATATGTGCAGCCATTGAGTGCGGAGAGCGGGGATACAAAGCTACGTACCGTACAGCGCACCTGTACCGTTGTACCATAGTGTGTCAGTGTATCCGGTGGTGGTAGCAAGTATAACCTTGAGAAACACCGGTGGATAGTTTCCCCACGAGACACCTAGCCAGCCTAGCCAAGCACATCTCCCCCAGCAGCCTAGCTCTCACAAGCGGCAGTCTTTTCCAACACTGACTGGCAACAACCAGTCCTCTACAGTCAGGTGTGTACACATACTCCTGCCCCCACCCTGTACACACACTCTCCAACACTGACTGACAACACCCAGTCCTCTACAGTCAGGTGTGTACACATACTCCTGCCCCCACCCTGTACACACACTCTCCAACACTGACTGACAACACCCAGTCCTCTACAGTCAGGTGTGTACACATACTCCCGCCCCCCTGTACACACACTCTCCAACACTGCCAGTCAAGGATCTACACTCCACTACTCCAACGAAGCCTCTCCATCAAGGACCTCCTCCTCCAACAAAGGTACGTGGACCTGTACTCTCTCCTCCGGTCGGCCGAGCGGACAGCACGCTGGACTTGTGATCCTGTGGTCCCGGGTTCGATCCCGAGCGCCGGAGAGAAACAATAGGCAGAGTTTCTTTCAAACTAATGCCCTGTTACCTAGCAGTAAAATAGGTACCTGGGTGTTAGTCAGCTGTCACGGGCTGCTTCCTGGGGGGTGGAGGCCTGGTCGAGGACCGGGCCGCGGGGACACTAAAGCCCCGAAATCATCTCACGATAACCTCAAGATAACCTCTCCTCCAGCCAATTGCCTCGTCACGTGACACGAGGACACACACAAATCACAATAGCCTGATAGATCAAATAAACAAATCCACATGGGGTCGTGATGAGGATTCGAACCTACGTCCGGGATGATCCCAGACGTGCCTTAGTCGACTCCTCCACGACATGGTCATAAGAATTGGTGTTCAAAAATGACGTGGTTATTCTTATGACCATGGCGTGGCGCAGTCGACTAAGGCGCGTCTGGGATCATCCCGGACGTAGGTTCGAATCCTCATCACGCCCCTTGTGGATTTTGTTCATAATACAAGTAGGATCCCTTGGTTGTTTCAGGCGTAGGTTAGACATATATATGAGATTGAGTGGGTATAAATAGGCGCTGCCTCGTATGGACCAATAGGCCTTCTGTAGTTACCTACATTCTTATGTTCTTAATGTGTGTACTCACCTAGTTGTATTCACCTAGTTGTGTTTGCGGGGGTTGAGCTCTGCTCTTTAGGCCCGCCTCTCAACTGTCAATCAACTGTTACTAACTACTATTTTTTTCACACACACACAGCTGTCTAATTTCCAGGTACCTATTTACTGCTAGGTAACAGGGAGATTCAGGGTGAAAGAAACTTTTGTTTCTTTCCATTTGTTTCTGCCTGGTCCGGGAATCGAACCCGGGCCACAGAATTACGAGTCCTGCGCGCTGTCCGCACCGCTACCAGGGGCCAGATTCACGAAGCAGTTACGCAAGCACTTACGAACGTGTACATCTTCCCTCAATCTTTGACAGCTTTGCTTACATTTATTAAATAGTTTACAAGCGTGAAAACTTGCCAATCAACTGTTGTTATTGTTATAAACAGCCTCCTGGTGCTTCGGAGCTCATTAACTGTTTAATAATTGTAAACAAAGCCGCCAAAGATTGAGAAAAGATGTACAGGTTCGTAAGTGCTTCGTGAATCCGGCCCCAGACTGTGTACTCACCAAATTGTGCTTGCGGGGGTTGAGCTCTGGCTCTTTGGTCCCGCCTCTCAACTGTCAATCAACTGGTGTACAGGTTCCTGAGCCTACTGGGCTCTATCATATCTGCATTATAAACTGTGTATGGAGTCAGCCTCCACCACATCACTGCCTAATGCATTCCACCTGTTAACTACTCTGACACTGAAAAAGTTCTTTCTAACGTCCCTGTAATTTAACTGTGTGTGTGTGTGTGTCTGTGTGTGTCTGTGTGTGTGTGTGTTATTGGGCAGCGCCACTCATCCTGTGAGTGGACACACCGCCATAGTGACAGTATTGGGCAGCGTCACTCATCCTGTGAGTGGACACACCCCCATAGTAACGGTATTGGGCAGCGCCACTCATCCTGTGAGTGAACACACCGCCATAGTAACGGTATTGGGCAGCGCCACTCATCCTGTGAGTGGACACACCGCCATAGTGACAGTATTGGGCAGCGTCACTCATCCTGTGAGTGGACACACCCCCATAGTGACAGTATTGGGCAGCGCCACTCATCCTGTGAGTGAACACACCGCCATATTGACAGTATTGGGCAGTGCCACTCATCCTGTGAGTGGACACCCCCCCCCCCATTGTGACAGTATTAAGCAGCGTCACTCATCCTGTGAGTGAACACACCGCCATAGTAACAGTATTGGGTAGCGTCACATATACTGTGAGTGGATACACCGCCATAGTGACAGTATTGAGCAGCGACACTCATCCTGTGAGTGAACACACCGCCATAGTAACAGTATTGGGTAGCGTCACATATCCTGTGAGTGGATACACCGCCATAGTGACAGTATTGGGCAGCGCCACTCATCCTGTGAGTGAACACACCTCCATAGTGACAGTATTAGGCAGCGCTACTCATCCTGAGAGTGGACACACCGCCATAGTGACAGTATTGGGCAGCGCCACTCATCCTGTGAGTGAACACACCGCCATAGTAACAGTATTGGGTAGCGTCACATATCCTGTGAGTGGACACACCGCCATAGTGACAGTATTGGGCAGCACCACTCATCCTGTGAGTGGATACACCGCCATAGTGACAGTATTGGGCAGCACCACTCATCCTGTGAGTGAACACACCGCCATAGTGACAGTATTGGCAGAGCCACTCATCCTGTGAGTGGACACACCGCCATAGTGACAGTATTGGGCAGCACCACTCATCCTGTGAGTGGACACACCGCCATAGTGACAGTATTAAGCAGCGTCACTCATCCTGTGAGTGGACACACCGCCATAGTGACAGTATTGGGCAGCGCCACTCATCCTGTGAGTGAACACACCGCCATAGTAACAGTATTGGGTAGCGTCACATATCCTGTGAGTGGATACACCGCCATAGTGACAGTATTGGGCAGCACCACTCATCCTGTGAGTGAACACACCGCCATAGTGACAGTATTGGCAGAGCCACTCATCCTGAGAGTGGACACACCGCCATAGTGACAGTATTGGGCAGCGCCACTCATCCTGTGAGTGGACACACCGCCATAGTGACAGTATTGGGCAGCACCACTCATCCTGTGAGTGGACACACCGCCATAGTGACAGTATTGGGCAGCACCACTCATCCTGTGAGTGGACACACCGCCATAGTGACAGTATTGGGCAGCACCACTCATCCTGTGAGTGGACACACCGCCATAGTGACAGTATTGGGCAGCACCACTCATCCTGTGAGTGGACACACCGCCATAGTGACAGTATTGGGCAGCACCACTCATCCTGTGAGTGGACACACCGCCATAGTGACAGTATTGGGCAGCGCCACTCATCCTGTGAGTGGACACACCGCCATAGTGACAGTATTGGGCAGCACCACTCATCCTGTGAGTGGACACACCGCCATAGTGACAGTATTGGCAGAGCCACTCATCCTGTGAGTGAACACACAGGTATAGTGACAGTATTGGGCAGCGTCACTCATCCTGTGAGTGAACACACAGCTATAGTGACAGTATTGGGCAGCGCCACTCATCCTGTGAGTGAACACACCTCCATAGTGACAGTATTGGGCAGCACCACTCATCCTGTGAGTGAACACACCGCCAGTGACAGTATTGGGCAGCACCACTCATCCTGTGAGTGGACACACCGCCATAGTGACAGTATTGGGCAGCGTCACTCATCCTGTGAGTGGACACACCGCCATAGTGACAGTATTGGGCAGCGTCACTCATCCTGTGAGTGAACACACCTCCATAGTGACAGTATTGGGAAGCGTCACTCATCCTGTGAGTGGACACACCGCCATAGTGACAGTATTGGGCAGCGCCACTCATCCTGTGAGTGGACACACCGCCATAGTGACAGTATTGGGCAGCGCCACTCATCCTGTGAGTGGACACACCGCCATAGTGACAGTATTGGGCAGCGCCACTCATCCTGTGAGTGGACACACCGCCAGAGTGACAGTATTGGGCAGCGCCACTCATCCTGTGAGTGGACACACCGCCATAGTGACAGTATTGGGCAGCGCCACTCATCCTGTGAGTGTACACACAGCCATAGTGACAGTATTGGGCAGCGCCACTCATCCTGTGAGTGGACACACCGCCATAGTGACAGTATTGGGCAGCGCCACTCATCCTGTGAGTGAACACACCACCATAGTGACAGTACACTGTACTCACCTAGTTGTACTAACCTAGTTGTGCTTGCGGGGGTTGAGCTCTGTTCTTTCAGCCCGCCTCTCACTGTCAATCAACTTCTTTTTTCTTCACATTCACACACACACACACACACCACACACACACACACACACACACCACACACACACACACACACACACACTCACACACACACACACACACACACACACACACACACACACACACTCACACACACACACACACACTCATACACACACACACTCTCACACACACACACACACACACACACACACACACACACACACACACACACACACACACACACACACACACACAACACACACACACACACACACACACACACACACACACACACACACACACACACACAGGAAGCAGAGCGCCCGGAACAACTATCTAACTCCCAGATACCTATTTACTACTA